TCCGGCCGAGGCTTGCGAGGTACCTGGATGTGAGCAATCCCTATGTCCCGATTCCAGTACCTCTTGAACTCAACACAGATCTCCTTCTTGTCGTCCACGTGGATGATCGACCTGTCTCTCCCAACAGTGAAGGTCCTCGCGAGACTGTCTGCCTTTCCACTCTGACCAATCGGTTCTCTAGTGATCAAGATGTAGCGGACGGGAAGTGTCCGTGAAGAATTCAACACGCAATCTCTTCTCCAGTTCGAATGCACGTATGAAGTCACCAATGTGCTGAACCCCAATCGGTTCAATCTGTCAATCGCTGCTCGAGACTTAGCCGGAACACCGTTCTCTTCCGCAGTCGGATATGTCGCGTAGCTCCCCTCACGAAATGTGTCCAACACCTGGTGAAAGTCTAATGACACTGCAGTGCCTCCAAGATCAATGCGGCTCGCCGGACGAATCCTCTGACCCTGTGCACTGTACAACTCGACCCTGTTCGTGTCAAGATAGCGCCAATCAATCGAATCGGTGACGCGGCTCACAATCGGAGCTGAAGAATCTACGGTCGGGACTGCGCTCGCCTTTGACGTGGTCTGCAACACCACTGGCGGTACTGCCTTCTTAGGTAAGCTACCCTTCGAAGTTGTCTTCAACACTGGCTTTGCCTTCTTAGGCGGATCCGGAAGAACACTCGGGGCGGAATGCAAGTTCTGTGACAACCGAGAAAACACTGGCCTTGATCCTATCGCCTTTGGCAACGCAAGCAATGTCTCCGCCGGCCTATCGGTCACTGAAGATGCAATGGGCACCGGAACAACTGAAGAAGACTCTGAAGCTCCCCGTGGATCAAGAGGTCCCTCAAAGTCCTGCTCCAACTCTTGTTCGTCCTCCGACAGTGGCTGATAGACGCTGGGAGAATTGGTTCGGATCGCAAAGGCAACTTGTTCTCCTCCTTCGCCAATCTGAAAGTCTCCTGAGCCTGATTCAATCGCTTGATATACTTTCTATCTCCGTTTGATGCAGCAACACCGATCTGCACAAGATGAATGTAATATTCAAGGATTGTCAAGACCAACGACTTGCGGCGTCTCTGGAAATCTTTTCCTGCTCGCTTCTCAGCTTTGACCTTCTTGTACCGATCTAAAGCTTCGTTGAGCCGCCTGCCAACGTCTTGAAGCGGTGTGCCAGCGGCGACAGCAGGGGATCGAGAGCGAGCTCGCATTCAACGCCGAACAGCGAACGAGGTAGCGTGCAGTGAAACAAGAGTAGCTAACTCCTTTGATCCAATGCAACGAATACGGCTTGCTTCTTTCAATGAATGAGCTTAAGATCACACCAATGCAAACCTTTGGATGCAGCACCAGGGATCGGCAAAATGCACCGATTAAGCTCCTTACTCTATGAGTTCTGCACTTTAGTTGATCTTTGACCTTGAGCTAGTGAAGGCTATCTTACGATGCGATCGAACTAGTCTCTTCCAATATGGATTTAACTCGGATCCTATCCTACGAAGTGGTGTTGCTGAAGAAGCAACGCCCCACGGCCCGAGATGCAGTCCTTGGATCTGACGCTCGGCTTTCTGTTGACGGCAGCCTGACAAACGAATGGATGCCGAAATCACACTACGTGCTTATCCCAAGAAGGATCCTTTTAACTCGATGTTGGATCCAGGTATTGAGACTCACAAGCAGTGGCGGGGTTGCCACAGGAAAGCTGGCTCAAGGCTATCCTATGACGAATATGAAAATGCAATAGCTGAGGCTGTTAACCAGTTAAACTCACCAACCACAGCCAAAGTTGGTAGTTTAGTAGCAACGGCAAGCACCACGCGCAAACGCCTTTTTCCGCAGTGCTTGAGCCAAATACAAAGTCGCGTAGGCAAAATGATGAGTGACACATGATGCATGAGAAGACGTCAAAGAATGCTATGCTCTATACATGCTTTCCATCAACTAAGATCCAAAACTTTGTAAACACTTTGTAGGAAGTTTGTTTGAAGACCTGCGAAAGCTGTTCAAGAAGAGCTGATCTTTGGATCAGTGAGACTGCTTGCATTTTTTTGTTTAAAAAACGGCATTTGGTGCTTGCGCTTTGGGAATTTGTGACTGATGGCTGTAGTGTTTCAGGGTATTGAGGGTGAGAAGAAGGGTCGAATGGTTATTGGTTGTGCAAGTGTTTTAAGACTTGGCCACGGAAACACCAAAACACTTCTTTCATTTTTCCAAATAACATTGGTGCAAAACACTTCTTGCGAGCAAAAACACTAAACTCAAGCAACTTAACAAAGGAAAAGGTTCTTGAGATGGCCATGGCCAAATGTTGGAATGAAGAGTGGCAGGCAAGTCCGGGTGGCAAAGTATACTGCCAACAGTGCAAGAGCCATGCCATTGCAACCGCCAAGGGCTATGAAGCAAGCAAGGCACTTAGAAGTGCTGCATCACGGGCACGCTGCAGGCCACGTTGCCGCAATGTTTCAAGCCCAAGGAGGCATGAACACCAGCACAAACCAGAAAAGGAGCGCAGAAAAAATAAGAGCATATATATGATTATATAGTTATATATGTGTGTGTACACGTATGTAAAGAAGCTCTCTCTCTCTCTCTCTGGCGAGTCTGGCTGTCAATCAGCCGTCCCACAGGGACACTCGGCTGGTAAGCTACGATATGGTCTGTCATGGCTTCATGATAACTCCATTATAAGCCTCCAGCGCAACAGTCTCCAACAACATGCCCCGCCAAGTTTCTGTGAAACCACGACTCTGCCATCGCAAGGTCCTTCTGCCGCGCTGCGTAGGAAATAAACGGTGTCATCATTGGTGCACCTGAACGCTTAGGATGAAGACCAAACACCACGCAAACCACAAACCGAACTAACATTCGACACTAACATCACACATAAACGTCGGCCAAATGAGGCACCCAATGCCCGGTCAAACTCAGCACACCCCACCTATCAGCGAAATGTCGTCTACTACACCTATCAAGCTACTTGATGCCCACTACTTATCCACACTTTGGAACAAAACATGAGCAAGATCACACAAAAAGGGCCCATTTCTGCAAATGGTTGGTCCGTCCGGCACGGGGGGAGGGATCCGCCCCAGAGAGCCCTTCTCGATCCGCCTGGTTGTAGCCCTTCTTCGCGGCAGCTCTCGAGCCAACTCTCCGCTTCTTTCAAGTCGTCTGCTCGCAAAGCAGCGGAAATCAAAGCACCAAAAGTCACCGTGCTGGGCCTCAGACCTTGGGTGCGGGATGACGAGACTGAGACCGAAAAGCTCGGGGATTTGGCTTTGAAACCAAAGGGGGCGTTACACATGGTTGCCATGTGGTGGTAAAAAAACACACAGTTTAGCCCCAAGAGTGCCTTTGCACTCTTGGAAAATATGCACGTTTTTTCGTGTCCAAGCACATTCTGGGTAGACTCCCACAACGAAGACCCGGGTAGGTATAAACCATTCTGAGATTGGTAATACTCTGCACTTCCCCAAGTCAAAACATTGCTCCAAAATGCTGCAAGAATATGTTTGAAACGTTTGAAAAAGGGTTCAACAACGAGGGCCTCAACAACGAGGGCCAACCCTAAGACCAGAAAGGTCTGCCAACTGAGTTTCAAATGGAACCACTGGGTACAGGGTACAGGGCCCTCAAAGGTTGTCAATCTTCGTGAGGGTTAGATCTGCAAGGGTAGAAGCAAGGACCAGGATGCAAACCAGCACCTGAGAATTCAAAAGCGCTGAACATTTTCCAAGCCTGGGTGTTGCAATGAAGAAGACTAGGACTAGCCCCCTTGCGCATGCCCTCACAAGCAAACCCCTTGCGCAAGTCTGTCTTCTAGAAACCCAATGGTCTTAAAGATACTGATGCTCAGTAGATGTTTCCCGTGACTTCCCCCCGCTAAGCTCAATGTTCTGTCACACCCCGCAGTCTGGACGGGTTTGGAGGTCAGGCCACCCAGCTGGAGCGCCTGCCGGAGCACCTGGTTGGCCAAGCGCAGGTCACCCGCACGGGCGGCGGCGGAGATGATGGTGTTCATGATGACCATGTCCAGTTTGAGTCCTGCAGGTTTTGGCCAGGCTCGTTGGTTGTGCAGGATTTGGTGCCACAATCTGCAGAAAAAAAAACTACTGTACTCTGTTTTGCATCTAGGCATTCAAACCTGCCAATCGCCCTGTTGCTGGTAGCGCAAATCGTTTCTTGAATTTAAGAATGATTTGCATGCTTCCAAGGGCTCATCGTTCAATGCTCGTGTCCGTGCAATCTGAATTATGCCACTCAACTTTGTACATGGCATCTGCCTGGTGACAGCTACTTTGAGCTTCAACCGGCTGGCATCTTCCTGGTAAAAGTGGCAAACCATGGCAAACCTCCAGAGGGGTCTCATCCATCAGCCCCCCCCCCAAAAGAACATGTCATGAAGCATCAAGCTTGTGCGTCAAGAAGGGAACAACTTGCAGGATGTCCGTTCGCTTACAAAGAGCCAAGACATGCCAAGACTATAGAGATGAGAACACCTGTAGAAACGAGACAAGAAAGAACATCTTGAGACTCGGTACCTCACCGTCTGGTCTTCTTCTTCTTCATCATCGTGTGGAGCTCCCCAGACTTCCACAGCTTGATCATGTTCTCCACGCCCTCGCCATTCATCTCAGGCGACATCCGTCCGGCGTAGATCTCGCCACTGGTGGCCTGGGTGGGAGGGCTGAACTTTGATGGCCCACAATGTTTGAACATTAATTACTGGATGACACCACAACTTTTAGTGTACACACCGTGTGTACAACAAATGCTCGTCGCAACCTTGTGTTCCTGAATGCCTGAATTCAAGCTTGTCAGGCTTCTGTCAGGTAAACCCGACGACCATGTCCCTCCGTACAGTAGGGGCTGCTCAAGGTACAGGAAGTCGTGAAAGGGCCGAGAGGCCAGGTCGACCAGGATCAAGCTGGGTACATCGGCGCTTTCAGCTGCCAAAGCGGCGCTTTCATCGTCCTGGCCGTCGAGCTCGAGCTCCGAGAGCTCCGGAGCTCCGGAGCTGAAGGGTGGACCCCCGAACCAGCAGGTGGAGGCCCGAAGGTGGCCCCCGCCGGTGGATCTGAAGGATTTGGCAGGTGGAAGCTCCTGATCCCGGTTCTGCAAGTACGTCAAACACACCAAACCTGGTGTTAAAAGGCACCGGTTCGACCAATGAGGCAAATGAAGAAAACAACCTACCACCAAATCACGGGTGATCAAGAGAGCAGCAAAGACTAGCAAAGAAGTGCCTTGATCGCACTTTCATGTGCCAAAGAAGTGCCTCTTACATCTCTCAGAGAATCTGAAGAAACACTGCTCGCGGGTCCGGCCAGTGGGCAACCGTTTGGCCCGGTAGGTACGCTCACTGGAATCATCATGGTGGAAGTGGATGGCATAGCCATGGCCCCCTAAGGGAGACCATTTTCCTCTAGAAACAGGTGTGGCTTTGTACTTCTGGACTCTGAGTCCAGGAGTGCGTCTGGCTCCCCATGAAGGGTCCAAACCTGTGCTGTCTGTCTCACCTCCTCGTCACCTCGGTCGCTGTCGAAATCTTCCTCCTGCCGGGTCACCTGAGCGGCTCAGAACGAGGGTCGACAGAGCTTGATTGTGTAAAAGTGCAAGGGCAAAAGGGTTCTAATGCAATTGAGCACTCTAATGGGTCCATTAGAACCCGGAATTGAGCACGAATCATAAATTCTAGGGCTCTAATGGATGCCAGGGGTAGGAGTTTTTGCTGCTTGACCATCATCACACAAGCTAAAAGGTGCACGGCAGGGCCTAAGGAATCAACGGGAAAAATGCCTGACATCAACATCAACTGCCTCGAAGTGGGATGCGTCCTACGTCCCAAAGATTGTATCCCTGAGGCCTTAAGGGATGTTCTTCAGCAATCCCGGGACGAGAGTTGCAAATGGCCAAAGCTGAGCTTGACAAAGGACCATCTACAAAAAGCGACCTTCTAAAGCATGAAATCCGCTGCCCAATCTGAACGCCTGGCCTTTAGGAAAACGTACGATTTCCGAGGGTCCGAGAGATATGTGGCTACCACACCCCATTACACGCCCCTATGGGGAGAGCTACGGAAGGCCTTCGTTTTATTTATTGAAGTATATAAGGGGCCCCATTCTAGAATCCCATCTACAGTTTCATCTCAAACAGAAACAGTCAAAACTGAACAAGAGGTGGTTTATTCCAAGTTTGTTCCTTCATCCATTTCTACCAGCCTGGCGCCTCTCGGCGACCACCACGTGCCGCACCTCATCTGCTTGTGGCAAGTTGGCCATGGTGCGGAAGGTGGCTGAGACCGGCGAAACCCGCCGGGCAGCGAAGAACAGCAGTTCACCAGCCCTCGGATGGTTCCGGCGCGAGCGCGAGGTTGCACATCAGCAACGGGAACATGCGCCGAGGTCAATGGGGCGCATGGGGTCGGTTTGACTCGGAGTCATGTATAGACGAGCTGAGAGTCCAAAGCATATTATATATTGCTTTATACTTCAGTATATTACATATATCATCATATATCATATATATTGATGAGCTGATGCGATCTGGAAGGTAACCGAGCATACACTGGCATCGAGTACTCAAACGCAGCAGCTTGAGGACCCTGCCGCCGCAGCATGAAAGAATCAGTGATCCTTGAATATCTTGAATAAACGCCCAACGGCAAATCAAAAGCGGAGCGTGCCAGGGCCAAACCATCAAGTGGTCTTGATACTTGAATTCAGCATTTTGCATGCCAGGTTGGGCTATGCGTATGTGTATGTATATATATATATATATGTATTTTTACTATATATAATATATTCAGTGTATACATCCGTCCCACCCCGCGTGCTGCCACGACTCTTGACATACTTTTCCGCAATTGGATTCATGGTCTGTATGATCTTATTCCTGGGCAGAAAAGCCCTGCAGGCACTTTGGTGAAGCTGTATAAAACTGTGCATATTTTTTTTAAAGAAGTGTTAAGGACCCCAGCCCACCGAGCAGGAAGCAAGCATCCCAACAAACAAAAAGAGTTCTGCTCAAGGGGCTAGTCACAGGAATCTGTCACTACAAATGTATACTGTACAAATGTCTTACCAAAACATTGACCGTCTCACCATGTTTGATGCCGTCAAACATCACAAATCGGCTTGGCAGCTTAGAAACTTGCGAGGCTATAAGACTCATATAGCTGCGGGTCAAAACCGGGATCCCTTAATCCACGGTAGGTTGACCTTCCCAGGAGTCCATTCTGTTCATGTTTGGTGGTCAACCAGGGTGTCCCGGTTTGACCCACTGCCATATAAGCTGTCCGTTGGCTTCTTTCCTGTGACACTACTCCTCCCTGAGCAATCAACAAATGCCAAGTGTTCTGGAGCTCCTCCTCGCAATTCTCCAGCATAAGACACATGGCCGGCTTGAGGATCTCCTTGTGGAGCAAAAACCCCTCAACGTAATCACCCTTCAATTGTTTCCGTTTTCTGATTTTACAGTGTCTTTCCCCGGCTTTATTTTGAGGCAAACTCTCGCCACAAATCCCCTAAGGCCATGTGGCCACTTCATCATGATTGATATTATTGATAAGCCCACCCATACCGTCCATACCCATCCCAACTTAACCAAGCCGCTCTCCTGAAGGTCTGGTACGGTCCGTTCATTTCCACTCTAAAACCCCATTGTTCGGTCCTCAGGGGCCTGCGATCATTCGAAATAAGGAGTCCGGAGTGGGATTTGGTCAGCCCAAATAACCTCTAAAAGGTCAACATCAACAACCAAAACACATCACAAAATGATAGTCACGTGAGTATATATACAGTATGTATACATGGACGTTCCAAATGACCTAAAATCCCAAGCACAAGTCCATGATCTCCACAGGAATTCCACCACCTAACCCCACCCAAAAGGACCCACAGCTGACACCAAGTCTCGTCTGAGGATGACAAAAGCCCAATGGGCGGTGGCGGGAAAGGGAAGTCCGATGCCTGCAAGGTGGGCTGGGAGATTTGCGCGCACTCAGGGGCTGAGTGGACTTAATTATTTAGATTCCAGCAGTTAAACAAAGCATTGTTGTATTTACTGTATATCATTGTAAATCCGCGCCGATGAATTAAAGTCCACTGTAAATCTTTGTAAAACCGCTGTAAATCCAAAGCTAGTGCCAACAACCCCGCACACTATTGTTGAGGTGGCTTCTGCGCATAGGAAAGGCTACATGCATACGCATGGCACATCATGGCACAGTCTCGCAAAGAGGTCGAAAGCTAAATTTGGTCGCTCGCTAAAATACGTCACTTGCCCATGTGCACTTATTGTGTGGCCGGAGCCAGGCTTCCCCCAAAAAATCTGGGCCTTGGCGGGCAAATCAGGAATGCATTTGGCATTCTTATTGATGATCTGCCCTTTCGCGTCCACAATCACCTTGGAGCAAAGCGGAGCCCCCACGCACCGAGCATGGGCTCCTAATATTGCGTTTGTTGGCCTCCTAGTCACAAGGCCTGTTACAATATCGGCTCGTTTTCCCACCATGATCCGACTTGATTCATAACCGGTCAAGTGGCAAAGGCGGGCACTTTCCTGATGCCGAAGCACTGATCCAGTAAACCTTGCTCCGACATGGGCACCGCAAGCCAGGTGCCGCCCTCTTCTTGCTGCTTCTTATAGAAGTCGGTCATCATCAGCTCGTCAGTGTCACAGCCACAGTAGATGATTTCAAACCTAAGTTTCTTGGGGTCGTAGGCATGTTGCTTTACAGGTTGAAATGTCAAGTTTGGATGGGTTGATAGATTTAGGGCCTAAGGGTCTTCTAGGTCGCAGTGACGTCGCTCCTTGGTCGTTGACCCCTTTTCCTGCAGGTCGAGATGGTTCCAAACTCTAGCCTCGCATGCCACCCCCAATTGGGTTTGCTGTCTAGAGTGGTTTTCAGTGGATGATTATAATGGTACTTATAATGGTCTATAAAGCTCTTGAAAGAAAATAGCCATGCCGTGGCCGGGGCTGGACTGCAACCCTTTCTCAACAACTCTTTGGGGCGTGGTTCACTTTGCCCGTCGTGCGCGTCCTGCTTGGTGGTTGGTGCGTACCCACATTGTCCCGCGTTCGGTGGACTTTCGACCCTACTTCTGCTGTGCCGCTTGTCGCCAACGTCTGCTTTGACACCTCGGAGGAGAAGTGCCAAGCACGGAAGTGCAGGTCGTGGGTGCGCATGAAGGAAACCAAACATGAAGGTGACATGAGTCAAACACATACAAATATATAGGGCTGACGATACGATGATACGATATTCCGATCTTGGAAACAGAGCCACTGGCCAAAGACCTCATACCCGTCTTGTTAACCGGTACTTTGTTCAACGCATTGATATGCATTTCCAAGGTCATGCGCAAAGCGGTCCAGTGGATGCGTTGCAGGAGTCTTTGATTTCCATTGTGCATGGCTTGGTTGAATCCAAGCTCCAAATATGTATATCCTTCGTTTTTTCATGAACTGTATACAGTAAACTAACCAAACCTTCTACTCAAAGCTCTACAATAATTGAAATTCAGCTCAGACCGTTCGAGAATCCTGAGGCTATGTCCCACACACCCACACAATCACCCACACATCAGGCACAATCTGGACAAACAAAAAGAAACACCCACGGCAACTCCATGCAACTCCCAAGTTTCCCCACGCCCATCGACGCGTCGAGGCACCGGCGTACCAATTGGCCAGCCTGCTGGCCAGATCGACGCCCTGACGTGTCCAGCCGCCAGAGAACAGGAGACCCACGGTCTTTCCTTCGATGAACTCCTTCCCAACCGTCTCCTAAAGGGCAACAAATGCAAAAGCAAGACTCTGCACGCTCTTATTTTGGAATGAACTCCTTAGATAAACTAATCAATCCACTCGTTCCATCCAAAATTAATATCTTTCCGCTTTTGCACGTTAACACTTCCCACTCATCCCACTCATCCCCCTCGTCCTGGCCCTTGTGAAACTGGCTGGGTAAGGCCTCCTCGAAGCTCGGGATCTTCCAGGGGAACTTCTCTCCCTTGGGATCTCGCTCCACCGAGGAGCGCCCATCCTCCGTGATCAGCTCGCCCGTCTCTGCGTCCACCAGGACGAAGCGGGGCAGGGCGGTGACCTGCGCCGTGTGTGACGAGGCTCCAACGGTTCGCTCCAGGGTCGTTCGGCGAGAATTGAAGGCACCAGGGTCCATGCGGGCCAAGGTCGCGTGGTAGACCTCCTTGGTCATCCCTTGCGGGGGTTGTGGGCACTGATCCCCGCACTACCGGGTTATGGGCGCTACCGCTGTGAAAAGCAGCATCCTTGCAACACCTGTACACGATTGGAGTCTCGAAATCAGTGGCGATGATTTCAATGTTTCATGTTCTTTAGAGTGACATGCGCAAACAATTGTATACATGTAGACGTTTGTCAGCTTGACACATCTTTGCAGTAGATCCACCGTTGGATGGGAAACCTCCTGTATGAAAGACTTCACATACAAATAAATAAATATATATATATATCACGTACGAACCTACACAGTAACAATACCGACCGTCGACCCCAACTCAAACAAAAACCCAGAAAGAAGACCAAATCCACAAAAGGATATCAGGATATGAGGGGACTTTGCTATGCATTTGGACCAAGAAATGAAGACCCATTGTACGAAACATGCTTGGCCCTGCTCACCTTAAACTTTTGCTTGAGAGCCATGACCTTGTCCTGCAAAATGAGATCAGCGCGGCAGAAGCAACACCGTGACAAACTACAAAGGAAACCACAACCCCAACAAATCTGCTATACAGAACAGTGAGGGAACCACTCTCTGAAACATATCTTTGAACAAACCGTCAAATATGCTATGTTAGGAAGCAATGAAGCTACCCTCCCAAAGTCCTCATCCTTTTTGTTGGACATCCTTCATCCTTACGGAGAAGCGAAGATACCCTCCGGTGGGGTCCTTGGATTCGAAGGGAAGGGCCAGCCATGGCATCTCCTGTCGGAACTCCTCAAAAAGCTCGTGCTTCTTGTCGGAGGAGCAGAAGACGATCTCGAGGCCCTTGTCCTGGTAGGAACTCAAGGATCACAAGGCAGCTTTCGGCTTCCAGGTTCTATTTTCACAGTGCATCCGATGAAAGGGCGTGCATGAGTGAGACATTGGGCTGTTGACCTCTTGCTCCCATGCTTGACCTCTTGCTCCCCATCGCATACAATACCAGCGTCCCTTCAAACTCGGGCTCTTGAGCAGCTGCAATTGGATTGATTCTGCTCTGATGTACTTGCTTTCATTTCATGTGTTTGCGTGTCATTTCATTGCAGAAGCTTCCAACTGGTCCTTGACAATCTCATATACCCGTTTGAGCTTCGGTGTGAAGGTCTTGCAGCGAGGATACCGTTCGGCTGCAAAGTACCTTTCTTGACTACAGCAAGTCAGCAAGTGGTCCAGCACTTGCACAATCGTGGAAAGCTCAAAGGAGAGAGCTAACACAGGGGTCCTGGAGGGCTTTTCAGAACTCTAGGCCTTTAGAGACGTTTTACATTGTATGCTGATGTATTATCCTTTCAGGAGGAAGTCACACAAGCCCACATGTCACCCCAGTGGCACTGTGATCTCGCCGAGATGCAACCCCACCTGCTTCTTGCCAGTGAAGGCCTGCAAGGGGTGAGCAAATTGATACCGAACGGCCCGCTGCTCTTGAACCTTCCTGACAACAAAGCAGCAGGTGATGAACATCGGAGCTGCGTTTTCAGTATCTTTAATTTACAGAATTTATGCGATGTTTGTTGTATATCTATCTATCTATCTATCTATCTATCTATTATCTATCATTATCTATATCTATCTATCTATCTGTGTCTGTACCGTATGTGTGTATGTTCATCTCTTCATTTTTCTCTAGCGGCACCCAACAAGCCACAATATGGTCCAATGCTCGCGAGGCGCCTTGTCAGTCTCTACCACTCCAGTGGAGGCTAACAACGTTTCGCCCAGCAAGGCTTCGAGAAAGCTTTTGACATCCACGCTGCGGTCCCCGCTGGACGCGCCGCTGCCCATAGCAACGGTCAAAGGTTGATTGACAAAGTCCAAACGATGTGGGATACACTGGACACGAATAATTTCACTGTGTGATACTGTAGGTATGCTGAGCATGCTGACCCGCAATTGCATAGAAAAAGTGAAGCAATGTACTCAATCGGCGGCCATTGGAAACTCTTCTATGCAGTCCAGGTATTCAAACAAAGCACACTGGAAACACTGCTATCACGGCTCCCGAAGCCTGGCAGCGAACAAGATACAGCTGATTGTAGTTGTGTTACATTCAGTGCAGGGCAAACCTTGAAGGAAGGACTCCTGGTGCCTGCCTCCCTTTCTGAAACCGCCCCCGCACAATCACAAGCGCTTGGAAACAACTCACACACTGCTCACCACACTGCTCACTTCAGCTGTCCTTGCGTTGTGGCTTCTTCCACATACTTTCGAGCAGCCTCGTGAGAAGGCTCGCTCGTCAGTATCAACTACTGAGCTGCCAAATCTCTCCACAATGAGGGAGAATATCGTAATTATAGAGGAACAATCCACTCGGTCAACCTGTAATAAGATAAAGCACCAACGGAAGGCATGAGCGCTCGGATTGCTTTTCCAAATTGCTATTTCGATCCCCAAAGTTGCCAAACACATGAAACATTGAAGGGTATGAACGCCCTTTCGAAACTCCTTGGCGCACCTATGACTTTAGAAGAATCGACCTTGGGCCGGCAAGGGGATGTTGCACTGGGCAGTGGCCCTGATTGAAGAGCCATCGGCCCGTGCCCCAACGCCTGGAGGTCGCCCTTCGTGGTGGCTGCACTGATGAGGCTGGTGTAGGTAACAATGTCAGGTTCCTTCGCTCGATCGGCCAGAGTAAAGAGACTGCAACTTGAAATTCGTAGCCAAAGTATCTGCCCGTTGTATGTCGATGTATGTCTCATTGGCCAACTAGGCAACCAATCTAAAGCTTGCCTTAATCATTCGGGCGCTCTCTCATCAAGTTCAGTCCCTTCAATTCCACTTGGTTGACCTCCTTTTCATGAGAAAACGGTCCCCAATGTCTTGTACAAGTCGCATGTGCATGCATTCTCCGAACACATATGCATGTCCTGCATATCCCTTCGTACTTATATATCTTTCTCCGTCACGAATCCCCAGAACTCAAACTATGGCCCTGACATGCCATGACCATCTCCAATCATTTGCTACCCCCACTCCACGTGAGCCAACCCAAAACCGCCCGGCCTCGCCCATCTCCCGCGCCAGATGCAAATACCGCTCCGCCAGCTCCAGTTGCCCCACCCGCGCGGCTGCGGCGACCATTGCGTTGAGGGCAAACAGGTCAACTGAATCGCTATGAAGCGCCTCCTGAAACCAACGCCTGGGTCGCCCAGCCAAAAAATCCGGTGGATTTGGTGAGGAAGCATCGAGAAGGACACCAAGCTTGGATGTGACGTGCACTTTATATATGGGAGTATCACGGAGTGTCTATCTATTAGGATGCAATACGGATGCACTAGAGGAACTGTGGCAAGTACAAAGGTTTCTCGGGCAAACAGAAGACCTGACAGAACGTGTCAACCATTGTCAACCACATTGGACCACTGCGAGCCACTCTGCTTCCTTGAGGCCTTGAACCTTCGCCGCGCAGCTGATCACCGGCGCATAGCGCACGGGCACGCCGCTGGCCGAGGCTTGGGCCACGAAGGCCTCGCAGGCGGCCAAGTCGCCTCGGACCCGAGACAGGCGGCGAAGGGCCAAACGAAATGGCATCCTGGAGGCCACCCTTTTGGCCTAACACCTAACACGGAGTGCACCATCTTTTTGTCAATTTGGCCGCGCGAAGTCTGGATTCGTAAACGGTGAGACCCTGCGGGATGAACTTCAGGTTTTCACCGCGTCTGTCTCCAGTCTCGATCCGTTCAACGTCTCGAACATGACGAACGTCACCGGCATGAGCGTCACGAACATTATGCATGACTGAAGTTACGAACATCATGCATTGGCTGTTGAAGTCATGGTTTAGTTTTATTCAAGGTTAAGAACCAGTCGACTTATGTAAGTGTTTGGAATCCTTTTGACAGAGCCCCTCACCTCCCAAAAGCAGCTCAAAGGCAGGCGAGCTGCATGCGTTCGATGCAGAGGTCAGCAAGCCCTGGTAGCTCACCGCATCCTAGGATCTTCGAGGGCACAGTGGAGAGGATCCAAGTGCGTAAGAATGCTTCAAGCAGGTGATATAAAGCCGAAGGCGCGGCATCCTGAAACATCTCCCTCTGCGCTGTTGTTCTCGTGCTGAAAACATGATACAAAGGCACTCTGAGGGTGATAATCCTGCAGATGTCATGCAAATGTGAAGGTCATGCTTTGATGTGTCAACTTGGAAAACTGGCAGTGTCAGCTTCACAGCTAGCAACAGCTAGCTCCGAAGCGGCTGAAGCGGCGAAATATGCAGCGGCTGGCGGGAATGACATGACATCAGTCAGCTTGTTGTCCTATAGAGAATGCCTCGGACTATGTCACAAATCCAAGGCTCTGGTTGAACCACTAACTGGTTCATGGTCTTCAGCATCTCTTTGGCCAAAGGGACATCGCCTGCAAGAATTACAAATCACTCTCAAGAACGAACATAGCACCCACCTGGTAGACAAAAATCAACTTCAAACACCTTCTTATTTGTGGTTGTGCCTGCTTGACATCCACTTCAGCGATTGCCAAAGCAGCAAGACATTTAGAAAGCCGGTCCCCTGAGCCTGCACGGGCAGCTGCCTGAATCGCAGCATTGCAAGTATTGACCTCCACCTGCGGCACAAGTGACAGTGACAGCTAATCCTGTAACAGTGGATCATCATGATTACCCCTGCAGATGAACGTGGACTGTGAAAATGGACCCCTTCAAAACAAATTCTCATCTGCCCAGTTGTTCAAGGTCCCTGTAAATCTGCAGGTGGGTACTGCAAACGTTAGTCGTGTGATGTCATGAGTGTTTTCCACTCTAAGCATGGTGGCAAGAGACATCTTATGAGTGAAATTTCAAGCACACTTGCATCATGCAGTTGATTCGACATGTTGCTACCTGTTTGTTGACAGCTTCATTTCCACTTGCCAGCCTGCAAATGCAGCTGGCGCTTACTGAAGAAACAGTTCTTTCTACATTGCCAGACTTGTGGCCCTATGCACATCTAAATGTAGCAAGCTTCTTTGAACCTAGGTTAAGGGCCATGGTCATCCCATGTCATCCCCCTTTGGCCAAAGATCTCCCCACAGAGGCGGTTGACTTCATTGTCCCAGATGCCAGATCCCAACACTCATGTCCGACATGTCCCGATCTTCACATAACTATATACAGTGAGCGGAACGCTAACTACTGCGCACTGTACATATTTGTATTAGTGTTGGATGGTCTTGGCATAGTCCCAACCAAAACCCCCTACGTGCAAGAAAAGGACTCCAAATGGCCGCAGCATGGCCCGACCTCGAACTGCTCTAAACCTATAAAATCCTAACCCGTCCTGGACCCATCCTTCCACCCCCCATCCTGAACACACCTCCCACAAGCTGCTAGCTTGCTATGTCGACTCTCGGCCTCCCCTTCCTGGAGCGCTTTCTGGAACCACCTTTGGGCCCCCTTGGTATCCTGACTGCGGGCGGCGCCCGTCAGCAAAGCACGGTAGGAGTAGCTGTCCAAGCGCATCCTCGGCGGGGAGGTTTCGTGGGGCTTGGGAGCGGTGCACCCAAAATCTGTGTGAAGATGGTACTCGGGCAGGATGGGTAATTCTGGACGAATTGCATTTCAGATCATTAAAGGCAGCGTTTTGTGAGCTGGGTGCATCTGGCAAGGATCACACGTCGTCGTCACAGTGCTCACAAGAGGGGTCCAAGATCCTGGTGCGATGTAATTGAATCCTCTGTCTCTCTCCTGATTGCCCCCCCAATGGACTCTCTACATGTCCCCAAACATGACCGTTTGGGGAGCGCTTCTGGGTCCACTCTCACGCATGCTCAGACCGCAACACAAGAACGATCTAACTATAGATGAACAAAAAAACACACACAAAAAAAAAACACAAAGACATGAAGAGCAACCAGGATCCTGCATCGCCGAAGGAGGCAAAGTCCAATTTCTTGATAACACTCAAAACACTTGGCCTCAAATGGTCTGCTTGAGATTCATGTCGATAACGATAGTTCTTGCATTTTGTGAGATCATACTACTGGGAACGGTTCACAAGCATGACCGGAAGCCTGATATTTGTCAAATCCGACGTCAGGGCGATGTTCATACCTCAAACCATCAAAACCCCAAGATGGGACATGGATGCATCCTAAAATCCCGGTTTTTTCACCAACCTCATCCTAGCTCATCGTCCCATCCGAGCAGCCCATCTTTCATGCCTTGCTTCGCCCAAGCCTCCGCCAGCGCCTCGTCGCCCACCAGCCTTGGATGGGAACCGATTGCCACGAAAAGCTTTGGATGTAGAATGTAATAGCGATGGCCTCCAACCTAATAGCGATGGCCTCCACCGTAGTAGCTAGATGATTCAAACTTCGTGGATCCCCAACAAAATCAGACCTGGGATTCATAGGCCCAGCCTTAGGTGTCACCAAAGGTTTCAAACACGACGAGAAAGTCGGCGTGATTGGTATCGTGCTAAGGTCCCTCGGTCCGGATATGTCGGGCCCTGTATATCAACCCATAATATCCCATAATTAGGTTCAAAGGGCATCAGGAATCTTTGCGTGCGACAAGCACATTCCATCTCTAGCAGGCTCTTGTCCAAAACAAGTGGAACACTGTCTCGCACATCATTGGAGGAGTTCCTTCGGAATAATATACTATCCTTCACTTCAACCAATTAACACCTGCATTCAGTTCAAGCCAATTGTGCTTTAGCAGTCCTCCCCAAAACTAGCATGGCATGGCAATCAACTTTCTCTGAGTTTGGAAGATTTACATTTCTAGTAGTTGGGCGTGGCCTGTTGCAAACCTCCAACACGAAAACACAAGCAATAGTATTATGCCATATTTATAGTTGTCCATGAAAATCCTTGAACATCCCTTTGTTTAAAGGGCCTCTCCCACGCCTAAGCCTCCGGCCCAGTGGCCCCGCCGCCCGCAGCGCGGTGTTCAGAACCTCCGGTGGCCAGGGCCGGGGACAAGCTTGCAGCCAGCGCTGCGCTGCAGAGGTGTCAAGCGCCTCCTGAGGTTGACTTTTGGAGATGGATATGCCGCCACATCATTATGACTATATAGAACGGATGGGAATCGATGGGGCGCTTGGGATGAAGGGAAAGCACCTTCAATTCCAGTGAATAGGTTGAGAGATGAGGCCTCTGCAAAATAGTGATGAGCACGTGATGAGCATTTTGGGGTGGGAGGGTAATCAGGTATTGAAGGACATAATTTCAAGAGAAACTGGTAGAACCTGACGGTTAAGTTAAGGCCGTCCTCACCATTGAATTACTTCTGTTAAGCCATGTTACGCCACCACTGTTTAAGGTTCTCTATGCATCCAAATCGATCTGGATTCCAAGCTTGTCGTCGAGGTGAACCTCGGAAGCATATGGCATAAGAGCTAAGAGGGGAAGACCAAACACGGTGACCTATATGCATGCCACTTAGGGGTGCGCTGTTGGATGACCACTTGGCCACTGGCCAAAACAATCAAAACAAGGAGTGTACCATCAGTGGGGGGAAAAAACGCAAACAATTCGCCGGTCACCAAGCTGCCGCAGCTGCGGTCACCAGCGCGGTGTACATGGCACTGCTGGGTCTCAGCCTGGCCTTCTGCGCTTGCTGGAACCACTCCTCGCAGCGCTGCAACTCGGCGGCGCGCGCGGCTGCAAACATCCTCACGCAGAGATCAAAATCAAAGAAGCAGGGCGATCGGGCGTCACAAGCATAACCCAACATGTCCGAATTCCAGGTAAGCTGGGCTGGGCTAAAGGCAATTATTGAGCAAGGAAACTCAGTTCCAGAGGGGGGTATGATTGTGGGGCTTCCCCTCCACCATGACCCAACAATAAAACATGTACAAAGGAAGATCCCTGAAGACGCCCCATGGTGAGGATTCATGTAATTACTTGGATCATATTGGATCTGGATATGGCTCAACATGGTGGTGCCATCCAAAGCATCCTGCCAAAAGGATCCAAAAGGACCATAGATATCCATAGACTCTCTAGCACCCTCACTCCTGGGAGTGTCTTTAAGCCACCCCCTTCCCTTGTTCGGAGAACGACCGCAAGTCCAAGCGTCAGGGTGACAAACATCGGCTCATCTCCTCAAGCCGACTCAAGCCGCTTTTCCCCCGGCGGAACTGAGGGGTCTCACTTGGCGTCCCCAGGGCGCCAAGATCCCAAATGTGATACATCCCAAACTGGCAGAAGGACAATAGAAGGAAGAGATCCAACACCTTTGGCTTTCCACTGCTTGTGTGATGTGATGGAAATTCAAGAGCACCCAAAACGATGTGAACTTGCTAACAGGACCAAGACCCCGACAGTGTATGATACAACAAAGATACACTAATATAATAAACATATATGTATATATAATATATATATATATATAATATACACGAACCTTCCTCATTGAGCGAAGCAGCCCCACCCATCTAGCATCGCTTCCTCCAAGGCGCCCACCACAGTGCGACCTTCGGCTTTGGCGCCCGCCTGAGCCCTTCGGAACCACTGCTCTGCAGCGGTGAGGTTCCCACAGCGTGCGGCGGCGTCGATGACCATGGCGTAGTCCTTGAGATCCTTGGGCGATAGACAAAGGGGTATTGGGCGATAGATCGGTGCTTTAAAGTTAAAAATGGTACAGTAACTCTGAACAATTACCCTTATCACTTATCACTTATCACATCTTATCACTGCATCTTGGAACTTCCCTCTGAAACCTCTGAGTCTTGCCCTTCTCCAGCTTCGAAAGTCACAAAAACAACGTGTCTCACCGAAATCATTGGTGGTCACCCCAGTGATCACCGGACTTCGAGTTCAGGCGCACTCGCCCGCCTGTTTAGCAAGATACACTTATGCACTTATGCTACTTATGGAAAACTCTGGCGGACCCCGCACATGGTCAGAACTGTGAGCCAGGCACCGGCGCGGAAATCTGACGAAACTGTTCCTCAGCAGAATCCAGATCATTGTTCTTGACGTAGACCTGTCAAGCCCAGGTAGCAAAGTTCCTACCTGTCAAGCCATGCCCGAAAGTACAAGGAACCTTGACCGTTCGCGTTGATCTACCAGTATAGAGCCACCGTGGAGCCACCGTGCGCCTTCCGCAAAAGGAACTCGTGAAGATCTGTAGTGCGAATGCCTTAGGTCTAAAACACAGTCTTAGCCTTCAACGTCAAGCTTGTTCAAAACATCCTATGTCAATGCAGTGCCCTCCCTTCAATGATCTGGAAGTGGATAGCACCATGACCCTGGATGCAAACACCATTGTACCCTTTTCTTGTACCAAAGGGCCATTTCCCCCTTCATGATTGTTGGAGGGAGGGTGCCTGTTCAAACAGTGGAAGGCATGAATTATCCACCGGCTACGTCGACATGTGTCACACTGTTGCTCGACTCTCGTCTAAATTTCAGTTGGGCAATCCCATGACAAATGATTTGTGCATGTCTGTGCATGTCTCGGCCCTGCTACTTCTCAAACAGGCATGCATCCAGGACTGCATCCAGGCAGCCCAAAGCTGTGCACTTGGCAACCAAAGACTTCGCCTTGCCCACATCTCCCACGCGCGCACAAGCCTGGCCACCCAGGCACTCAGCCGGGAGTTTCTCGCAGCCCGTGTGCTCATGAGCGTTCATGAGGCACTGGAATACGCCATTGTTCACCATATCATATCAATATTTGCGTATTATTTAATACTATATATTTATATATCCGTTTGATTTGCCAGTTATGGATGACCTTCCCGGCGCATCCTGTCGCATCCTGTATTGTGAACATGGATTGGTTCTTGGATCAAGACAGGCACTCACCAAGGAGCAGCGTCTAAAGGCAGAATCTGGTGACTTGAACCTTTTTTCTGGATGATAGGACAACCAGATTTTGCCTTTCTATCTTCTAGGGGACTTAGAGGTGCCACTTTGGAAGGGCCACAAACAAAGGCTGTCAGCTTCGCCAAATGGGCCAAACACGAGCATCCCATCTTCTGCGATGGTGACTGGTCATCCATCTTCTGCACACCGGGCAAACAGGACGACGGTCTCGGGCGATGGCCTCCAAGAGTGCCGCGAGGGTCCAGGCACTGGGCTGCAAACCTTTCTGAAGCAGTTCCTGCAAGTCCGACCGGTCTCTTGCCGTTGCACTGACCGGTCTCTTGCCGTTGGTTTCAATAGAGAACTGCTCACCCTTCCCAATGCAGAATGGATCATGTTTCACTGCTTTGCGTCTAAGCACTGCCAACTCTTCAACAAAACTTTAACTATTGGAGCCCCTTGTTGGAGATGACTTTTCCTTCCGAACGGCATGGGAGTGTCAAAACCAGGCTTTAACTTTTGTACCAACGGCTACTGTGCAACCACGCAGAACATCTCGGTATATAAATATACAGCAGTTCACCAAACTGTCCATTCTTCCAAAGACACTATAGTCTCTAGCCAAATCGGGTATCAGAATTCATGACAAGCAGGGCAATTGTTGTTTCGTGCTGTTTCATTGCCTGCTTTTCGTCTGTCGCCTTCCCTTCCCACATATGTCACATCCGTGCTTTCTGTGTCTGCCCGGCCATCAGCGGCCTGGAACCACTCCTCGGCCGCCTTCAGGTCCTGTGCCTCCAAGATGGATCGGCCCATAAGGAGACCCAAGGGTCTGCGATTCTCGATGCTGAGAATTCATCAGTGGCAACCATCTCGCACGTTTGAATATTTAATCAATTTGTATGTGCTTTTTGATCCATCTGGAGCGGCACTTGCTATATCGTCGCATGACTCAGGAACTTCTAGCAGCAGAGCTTGTGCAACTTCCATACGCGAATGCTTGACTCACGTGCGCGGTCCCACCCCATCACCACATCCCTGTGCATCATCCACGTGCCTGCCTTGGCTGCCGCTTGGATGAGTTGACCTCGCGCCTCGAGCTGTGCCAAATGAACACTTCTTGCCAAGTGTTCAAGTCCGATGTTTTGAAGTCCAATGGTTCGCCTCGAAGCACGGGCAGTTTAAAATAAGATGGATTACCCTCCCTCCAAACATGGAAGTGGACAATCCCCTGTTTGAAGCGGAAAATGATCTTGCCACTGGACATGTCATGCACTTCCATGATGTTTGTCACTGACAAATTCAAACGGAACCAGAACATGACAAAGCTAGCAATGGTCAGTTCACCCGCACCATGGATGAGAATGACACCAACGACCACCCCAAAATACCCATGACCTGACAAATGGAAGCACCGAAGAAGTCCATCTTGCTAAGGATCCACCCTAAGGCCCTAAGGTCGCAGAACCTGCCTCGGTCCCACTGACCAAACCCGCGACGGTCCGGTCATGGGTGGCGACTCATTGGTTTTGGGCGCCACTGCGAACGACCTATGGAACGACCCAGGATGTCTGGCCGTCTTCACGGCGCTGCCACGGCGCTGCCCAAACGACTCAGGCCAGTCCTCCGGTTCAAAGCCAAGCGTCGATTTCGTCACTCTCGTGGGCAAGGCCATAGCGCTCGTGCTGCCTGGACGCATCACATGAAAGACACCCTGCTGCGATTGGCAACTGTCAATAGTCAACCATAAACCAAGAAAGTACATTCAAGCACAAGCCCTACATTCAGTTATACAGTTATACCATAAACCATAATGCCATAAACCATAAACCTCTATGTACATTAATTTGATCAAATTCTGGCAAATTGTGCAAGCCCTTTTCAGGGTCGAATAATTGGTAAACAGTCTGGCCTGAACCAATGCTCTGCGCCAGAGAGGTTGCCCACTTTAGCTGCAGCTTCCATCATCTTTCCTGAGAACCATGGGAATAGGACTTGCCAATCTTGCGATCGGTTTGGGCACTATGGAGCACCTTAACAAGCGAAACCTGTTGTCTTTCCAATGCAGGCGAGAAAGCAGTTTAATGGTTAGCCCCTCCAGCCAGCATCAGCACATATCAGCACTCAGCACTCCTACGTCTCCTACGGTCCTACATGGTCCTACATGTGCGCAGGTTTGGTGTCCCCCCAATGCGTGGAGGTCTCCCTCCAGCGTTCGCTTTCCGTCTCCCTAGGTCGAGACCGACGACCACCAACGACAACCCATCCCATCAACAAGGCGTTGCGGCGAGACGTAGTGACCCTGGGGGGTTTGGGCGAGTTTGCCAAGGATGGATTTTGTTAAATAAATGATGGTCTTTTGCGATTTCATCTTTGGAGGCCAAAACACGTTGTTCTTGAAATCCTGTATTTTTACAAGACTCCAGGTCACTTTTTCACCCTCACCAGTCAGTTTCTGTGTTCAATTTATGGTTTCAGGTGGGACTCTTATTTCGTAGCAGTCTTTGGTTTGCTATGCTTTCTTTTTTAAAGTCACGTCACGTCTGACATACATGCAGTGGGCGGCTCCCATAAATATGTGTGTACATGCGACATCATCTTCAAAGCACATCCAAATATATCCAAATTAAATCAACATCATTAGCCCCCCCTACCCCCCTTCCCTCCAACGGAACATATCAAACATCAACATCAACCCACATGCATACCTGCTAATGATGCTAATGTAATCCAAGACGGCAAGCGGCAAGACGGAGACCAACAAAAAAAAAGCAACTTCCTCTGGGGTCGCAAACAACGCCATTGGCATAAACAAGGCTCAACGTCTTTGGTCAACAGTTCCTGGTTCCTCATGGTTCCTCTCCCCACCTGACACCCACCCACCCCACACCATCCACATTCCTAGCGGCCCAAGCCCTTCAAATTCGGCGCCACCCGGTGCTGGAGCATCTCCGCAAAGAGCCGCTCCGCCTGCCGGGCCGTTCTTTCTTCCCGAGCGCTTTTAAGGTGAGGAGATGCTATTCGTGGAAGTTCCGATGCTCCGTTGAAGGAGCTACTTCTTCCGTTGCAGCCGGTGTGAAGACCTGCAAATCTGTCCTGCCCTGGCAAATACGCACGAAGCATCGTTCATGTTTGGTGGCCGTGGCTTGGTAGACTTATTGTTCGCACACGCCACTGGTGGATGATGGGTTTCGGACCAAACGTCAGTCTTCATCAAGAGGTGCGTCCTCCAAACCTCAACTGGGAGACCATAGGTGAACATTGGGATGCCAAAAGGCAATCGCTTTGGAACAACACAGTGATCAAAGGCTGGCCTGTTTCAAATTCCCAGCATTGGCGCAGGCTTTGATTCCAGTGTTGAAGGCAGTCCGCATTTGGACTGTTGGCCTTGGGGTATGGCAAAGCATTGCAAGAGCTGGACATACGTTGTTCGGACACGCCGAGTGCAAGAATCATTTGCTGCCCAGCGATGTTCATGAAATCTCCCAGCGACGTTTCGGGTGGGATTTGGATGCATTTGCTAGATCATGTATTTGGGGCCATGATGGTTTTTGACTGCTGGTGATGGAGAGTTTGCGCGCCAATTGAGATCCACAAGAGTCCTGAGGATCTAATGGTACTACGATCCATTGCTACTCTGCTACTCGTTGAAGTGATACAAGTGACACAGTAGCAAACAGGCTGTTTGCCTTGTAGAATCGTATCCTATGGTCACTGTTTCAAGTGCACCTGGGGGGTTCCTTGAACAAACACATGACATGGCACGGCGTCGCCTGTGTCCGCTTGGCAGCTCTGCCAGTACCCTTCGCAACTGATGCAAGGCCCCATCCACATCTCCTTTCTCCTGAGTCGAGTAAGTATGGCTGGCCAAATGGCCACTGCTCGCATTCTTCGTTCGGAACACGTTCCACACAGTCTGGCGCTGATCTAGCCGGACGAGACGTCGATCGGAGCACCTGGGCCGTGCCCCAGGTACAGTAAACCTCCGGTCTGGCGACCCAGAAGGCGACCCACGTGCCTTCAACTGTTGACCTTTGGTAGCAAGAAACTACGAACGTAGCTCCTGGCATTACAAGAAGCTACTAATAATTGCTCCCAATAGAGAAACGCCTCAGCCTCAGGCAAGCTGCAGCTAAGTCATTCAACTTGTTCATTCCAGGAGAGAATGCGAAAAGGGGCGGTGCCGGAGGAAGCGCTCCTGCAATTTTACACGTGATCTGCAGGGTTCCGGCGGAACCGGCGGAACCGGTACGCTATTCTAAAAGCTGGGAACAAAGAGTGACAAACACAATAATGATTAATGGTATTTGAAAGTATTTGGGGAATCTGCTTTGAGATATTCCTCTCTGATGCCCATGTGAATCTGGAGATGCCAACTGTAGACTGGAGCAACCTGCTTCATTCAGCGTCCTCTCAAGCTCAGCAAGGCTGCCAGCAGCCATATAGGGCGCCTAAATCACAAAATCCAAATCATGGTCACCACAGGTGAGTTCCAAGTGGAAGTTGGTACCCTATTCTTCCGCCATCCTCGTCATCACCATCACCATGATCCCTCTTTATCTACATCAATTCTACACCGCAGTCCTCTTGATGGATTTGCGTCGAAATCTCACAAAAGGGGTTGATGGACAAATCCTGCACCGCTTTGCGCACACTTTCCTTGCTGCCTCATTCTCCCCCCTCCCCTTAACGACATTGGGAACACCACAGTGAGAAAGACAAACACATTAACAAAAAACACATGTTGAACTTCCGAAATCCTGCACCACCTCCTCAGTTGCGCGCCAACATTGAATGAGGGGTGCAGGGGTTGCTACACGACACTTATGGGGTCAGTAGTGGTGAGGTGGTGCTGGGCTTCATCTATCAACAGTACCTCCACCTCCACGCATCTCCACGCTGTTCTCAAATACATCCAGCTAGTCCTGGCCCACCTGCATCTCCAATGTTTCACCATGGCGTGAATGCATGTCGCCAAGGCATGTAGATTCACGAGAGCGCATGCCTTGTTACGATCTAGGAGCCCCTGGTCTGGTCTGCCTGATGTTGTATAGGATGGTATAGGGTGGTATAGGGGTCTATGGGGTAGGAATTTGCATGGAACCGCATCCTCTGTGGGGAGGCTACAAAGCAGTAGTATCGGCATGGGTGGGCTAGGGCAGTATACTTCACATTCTGTGTCCTCAGTCTGTCAAAATGACTAGGATACTTGTCATGAATTGGAGCTGGCTTTTTCCGGATAGTATTGTTGAAATGCATGATCAAACATCATAGGTTGCTGCCACTGTTAATCACTGATAATTACTCGCAGCCTCAACATAGGAAAGTTGGATAAAGGCGCTGCAATCTTCGTGGCTGAAGACATGACTAGTTAGCCCAGCCAAATCAGCTGCGGCCAATATATAAGAGATGCCCCCAACATGCCGCCCTTGGACCAAATTCAGAACCCGCACACCTGAAAGACCCAAGACCGACATGAGAAAAAGCCGGTGGAAAAGCTCATAAAACCGGGTTGCTTTAGTTGTTGTTTTTTAATGAGCTCAGGATCGACAAATTGGCCAAAAGATGCAGCGATGCAACGCTTTTTGCCTGCTGGGCTTCCTAAAACAACGGATTCCTTCTCCGAGAATGCTCAATTCATGAACCCATCCGTCTGGATCGAACGTCTCTCGGCTCTTCCGTTGGCGCAATCGTTTCCCAAATCATTGATTATGAAACGTGTCACACCCACAGCTGGTCGGCTTGGAGTTCCCAATCGGTGCACCACGGAAGTTGGCCGTTCCTTCAGCAAAATCCCTTCCCAGTGTCTGATTCGCACTGGAGGCAACGCCTACGTCGGCAGGAAATGCATAGGACAATGGATCGAAAAGACCATGTCGGAGTGTGTTCCGTCAGGATGGCATGTCATTCTCGTGCCGCCTGATGTGAAGAATGCCGAGAACCAAAGCCTCGGTCACAGCACAGCACGAATGCAGTCAATCCTTCCTTGGTGCACTTTGACCCCACATGACCCCATGGGATCCGCCAGGCTCAGCCGCCCTCTAGACGTCTAGAGGAAGTAAAGCCGTCTGACGACGTCGGTAGAGACCTAGCTTCATCGTGCTTCATTGATCTTCTCTAGCTGCATGCGCCGGTGAGGGCAAGGTGCAATCAGAACCAGAGCTGCTGTAGCGCCACAGACGAGTAGCACACCCCCTGAGCCGTGGTGGATGTGGTGGGGACAACGGTGCCGAAGATGGCCGCGTGGCCCGTTTGGTGCAGGATGGGGCACACAGGGTGGAAGGGAAGAAATACTGTAGTGAAACATCCATAGAGACCTAGTCCTAGAGACCACTCCGTTCTTGAGTCCTGTGCCAGAGAGGCTTGATGGCATTCACATGGAATCCAATTGGTGTGCCTCCAAAGTCCAAATCGCCAACACCTGGGAGTTTAGGATGCTTTGCCTTTGTAGGTCATGACAAACACCGAAAGGTAGAGAGTCACCAGGAACTTCACCAGGAATACATCAATATGTGGTCCCGAGCAGGCTGTTCAAGCTAGCCCTGTGCTTCGCAAAGCAACCTCAAGGTAGCCCTTACTAGGCTACCTTCATGATATGGTTGCAAATCAGGACCTGGTCATCAGTGCCACAAATGGGTTGGTCATCCCAGGTGGACTTCTTGACGCTAACACGCCTGTGTCGATGGCGAACACGCCATTCTCCAAGGCTTCCATCACATCGAAGTACCTGGCAGGCATGGGAGGCTGGCACCCACTAAGGCAAATGGTTGATTGATTCTAAGAGATGTTCTCGTTGACGGTCCGCAAGTTCGTGCATCCAACATGGGGGAGGGTTTTATTCATCAAGAGTCTAATGAAACATTGATGAGCTCCTGAGCTGCTGTCACAGCTGGTTGGGCCTGAGCGATCTTTGTGTCTCACCGGGTCAGCACAGCGTTGACCTTAACGGGCCTTGTTGGGACTTTTTGACGGGAAAAAAACAGTTAGGTCCCAACTCCGAACGGGCCTTAGGGCTCCGAAGGCTAAGACGCAAATGCCCACGCCGATCAAAAAGAACCCTAGGATGAGGTTTGTGCTGACCTCAGGGGGGATGCACTACTGCAGCAGTGTTCACAGTTGTCCATCTTCCCCTACCTCTACAGCATCTACAGTCAAACTTATTTGCAGGGTACTGAAAATAATCTAGTCTGCGAGGCGGTTGAGGAGCATCCGGAATCAATGATCTAATAAGGCTAAAACTCGTGCGGATTGCTCCTGCCAATGGCTGCTTGGCTTCTAGAAACCGCACACTGCTCTGGGAAGCCAACACCAGGTAGAAACTTGATCACTCCAAAGCCAGCGCCTTCAAAAACAACCGAGATCATGGCAAACAACGGCAAATTTGTAGATTGCAAAGGTCCTAGGTGTTGTACTAGATAGCTACATAAATAAATATAGATATATAGGTAGATAGGTAGGTAGATGGAAAGATAATAGGTAAATAGACAAATAGGAATATAGATAGATAGAGAGGGAAAAAATGAAAACTAATATAGCCACACGCATGCTGCCCGGGCTGACCACAAACCGTTGCCATCCATTGTTTGTACTTGGCTGAACCGTTGCCATCCCATAGTCTTCCCAAAGCACCGTTCTGCTCGCCCAGTGACTGGCCTGAGAGGGCAAGACCGGTACGGGGCCAAGCCAAGAAAGTCCTCTCATTGGCCAAGTGGTCGCGTGCGGTGCTATCTTTATTGGGCACCTGGCACTTTCCGGCGGAAAAAGGACGGGCAAAACGCACTGATTTAAATGGGCAGCACGTCCTGAGACATGTCTGTTGGAAGGATCCTTCCATATGTTTAAGCTGCCCAAGGGGCAAAGCCATATGCATTTCTGACATTTGGGCCATGAGTTTGCAGCCTTCAGCAATCAAACATCAAGAAACGCTTGAAGTGAATATTGATTCAATGAAATGTGCACTAAGGCCTTTTCTGGCGTGGCATGGCTGTGCCAATGATGTCCCTCAAAACGGTGCTCAGAGCACGAGGCGTCGTTCATTGAGGCCACTGGACAACAGCAATGCCATCAGCACATCTAAAGTAGGGATCTTGGCATGAGGAAAAGCGGCGTCCAAATGACCATGTGAATCCCCGTTGTTGGAATCCTTGGTTAGGAGCTCTTGGCATGCCCTGGGGCCAAATCAGGACGCGCAAAACACCAAAGCCCGCCTGCTTGCTGAGTCCGAAGTTGATCATGGTGCGATTGCAGTGGTACTTTGCATGTTCGTGCGCTTTGCGCCCCTGGAAAGAGAAACAGAAACGGCAAGCCCGTGACAGCCGGTGCATCTTCCGGTTCCCACGCACACAATCACGCACGGAAGCTCTCTAGCTCAAGGTCCATTGCTCATCCTTGCTCTCCTCCCGACTTCATGTGGACGTTGCAAATGACAATTTTGAGGAACCATACTGACATATATACTGACCATGCCCTTCTGCGAACCTTTGCAAACCACAGGTTTGGTGGGTCAGTCTGTGTTTGGAAACGATGCCGCACCCCCGCCTTCGATCCACTCGCCGGCGCTGCAGGGTTGCCCCCCTGGCGGACGGACGAGATTGAGGAGTTTGAGGAAAGGAGCCATGGCACTCAGTTGGTGGTTACAAACCCACTTTTGAGTATGCGATGTTTGACTTTCGTGATGTTTCATTGTCAACGGGTTGCCGTTCCATCAACAGGTTGGTGTTGCCGTTCCTGGGCAGTCGCCAATGATCCGACACCCCTCCCATGAGGTCTACAAGGTGGGTCTAAATATACCCTAGCCTTCCAAGACCATTAATTAAAAAATGGTTCAACTGGTTTTGTTGTGTGAAATCCTTAGCTGGCTCGGTAAAGCCTATTACTGTATTTTAATAGTGGGTGGAAGCCTAGGGTATATCTTGGAGAACACCCCGTGAACAATCTGAGAATCTGGGTGTCTCCCGATGAATGCTGGGAAGGGAGCCGGCCGAAGACTCCCTTCGTGAGGGGTCCCCAAGACTTTGGAAGTTCCGGGGGGAAGAAGTATGAAAACATTCGCTCGAGGGCCACAGGAGGCAGGGGAGACAGGGGACATGGTGGCACCCCGAATGTTGCGCATGCAAGCATCAGGAGCAAAAATACCCAAGCGGTGTTTGAAGGCAGTTCGTTTTGCAAAGAAAAGTTAGACCAAATAGGATGATGTATAGTTATATAATCTGATGTGGCAATTGCATGCGCCTGTGCATGAGATGTCATATCCAAGTGTCTGAGGGTGAAACGTTATAAAACAAACTCGGATTCCAAACGATTGAAAGTTTGTCCAGCGCCCACTGGCATCACATCGAACATCATCAAACAGTCCTTGGGAGAATCAACGGCCATCCATCTCTGTATCTCCATCGGAAGATTGTCTGAGTCTAGTGGTTCGGTGGAGCACTGCCAAAAAATAACCTGCTTCACCCAAACTGGCCAATCCCCCAAATGAGCAAACCGTGCGCGGCACGATGCAAAAATTGATGTTTTTTACTTATACAACGTAGTAACTTAAAGCCTTTAAAGCTGTCAAAAACATCAAAGGTTTGGTGGCGACACGAACCGGAAGGGTCACCGCATTCGAGATCCAAGTCGAAGGAAGATCGGTGCGGAAGTCGGTGCGGAACGGCACCCCAGCGAGACTGCTGGCGAATTCGCCCGAAGAGGCCTCCTCTATTCTCATGTAGCCGTCCTTCAGGGACGAGTGCGCCCCACATGAGATGGAGCACATCTTCCAAGGACCGAGGACCTTTCAACATCTTCCGAGCGAGCTGTGCAAAAAACGTATGATTAAACCCCTATGTTGTATATATATATAACTTTCGTACGCTCCTGCTTACGCTTTATGCGACCACAATGTGAGCTTACGCACCACGGATGTTGGAGAAGACCCTACGCAAATCTTATGCATCGATCTGCATTTTCACACAACCATACTCCCAAAAAAAAGCTTACGCGAAGGCCCCCTTTGCAGGTGAAACTGCAACCATATGGCAAGCTTACACAACATGCATGTCTCACAACTCCCTTACGCAACCTTATGCTTTTCGGGTATTTTTGCTTACGCCCAAGTTCCATATGACCAGGCCTTTACTTGGTTCATCTTGGGAGGTTTCTTGCGGTGCTCAAGTAGGATCCGTTTCGTCTTGTAGACTTATGATTATAGTTAGTTCAACCCCTTACACTTCAACCCTTTATAGTAAGCCTGAAACGGTTTTACAATCCAAAAGGGGTTGTTGTATAGATCAAGAAAGAGTCTACACTATCATAATCATATCTCAATTCAAACAATGAGCTTTGTAGCTCATCGACAAAAAGCTGCTCTGATCGAGTCCCTCGTCCCTGCTTCTGCATTTGGTGCGAAGTTCTATCACGTCTTGAATGACTTGAATGTTCCCAAGTTCGCTCAATAAAACGTTGAATGAATGTATCTCCAATCGAATCGCTCCCTCCTGAGCCATTGGAATCTTTGTCCGAGATGCGCTTGAGCCACAGCTACTGGCTTCCCGGAGAGACAGGAAACACAACATGGACCCGGAATGACCTGGCTCCCGCTGCACACCAGCAGCTCTGCTGGGTCAACGTGAGTTGTTGGGCAGTGCACTCCGCTGGAAATTCATTGATTGATGAGTTATCAAGGGCTGAGCATTGCTTAGCATTACAAATTATCCAAACAACTAGCTGGGTACATCGGCATGCATCCAAGCTAACAGCATTCCTTGATATTCCTTGTAGCCATTGCCTTTCCGAATCACAAATATCCTTTTGATTTGAGCCGATGTGGACAAGGCTGACCCTTTCAATGTGCACTCCGGCCGCTTGACTTGGCTGAGTCTCCCACCAGCCATGGGGGGCTACTGACTACTTCAGCTACGAATTCTACAGCGGTGGACACCTCAACCATGAGGGAGATGTCTTCGGGCGTCTCACCAGGCAATGGGAAGTCCCGGTGATGTTCCTTTGTCTTGTCGGTTGCGAGGAGTCAAGGACTGCCCGACAAAGGAGTGAAGGACAATGGCGCACTGAATGTCTTTGCTTTGTGGCTCTCCCTCTTGGCCTGCAGCTTCCCGGTGCGACAGCACGGGGCTGAGAGCCAAACATAAGTGCGTTCATGAAAGTGGGAGCTCATGTCAACATGCTCTGTGCCAACTCTTCTCACACTGGTGGCCCTGCTTTCCACAACAAATCAATGGTGAAGAAATGCCCCGTCTACATGTGTCCACAAGCGGAGGCAATGAGCAAACTGAGCAAACCAATCCATAACTAATTTTAAAGCTTTCTAGCGACTAGAGGCTTCCTTGGGAATCGTTTCACCTGTAGTAACAAGACGCTTTTCAGGTCTTTGAAGTTTATCAGTCACATTTAGTCACGACGAGGGTGGCATCCTTTTTTCCTGGCATCTTCAAAGCTCCGCCGGATCGCGGCCTGCACCTCTCCTGGGGGACGAGCAGGCCGGTCTGGACCGGCCTCTGCTACTTGCCAAAACGGCTATGCGCTTAAGACCCGTTGATGAGAAAAACATGAAAAGGGTCTGCCCTTTGACGTGCAGTCAGGTGGCCTGTGATAGGGCAATCAAGCTCGCCCTCCTCGTAGAAGCCTCAGTGCTTCATAGGAAACCTCCGTGCCCTGAAGGACCCCCCGATCAATCTAGAGTTGGACCAAGGAGGGGCCCTGACTCCTTGCACGCAATGTGACAACTAGTAGGCACCGACCGATACCCAGTTGGCCCAGCAGTCTCCAGCAGCGAAGATCCGCATTCATCGACCCAGCGGCACTTTCCCTCGACCATGTAAGCTTGGATCTCATCATTCAGAATCGCCGGGTCATCTGCGTAGCCTGGAGCGGAGACAAGCGGCCTCCTTTTGATGAACATAACTGGGACACCTGCCATACTGGTTTGTCAGCTCTGCCACTGGAACAAGGTGGGGGTGTCAAAAATCCACTTTTGGGAATGGGTTCATTAAGAACTGTCCGCCATATGCAAAGTTCGCAATTCAAGAGACTAAGACTAAGAAAAGCCAACAACACATTCTGAAACCCAATGAGTAGTCACTCGTCAAGCAACCAATCCAAAGAAACAGCGGGTAACACCAGGAACAACACCGAAAGTCTTTCGGAGGCACCTAGCTCCAGCAGCCGCTGCCGGCTCACTTGCCACCGGCCTTGCGGGAGGTCTTCCAAACCTTGGGCCACCGGTCGAGCCGCCGTGGGTTTCGGTGGAGCCGTGGCTGCCGTGGCCACTTTTGGGGAGGGACCCCCCCCTCAAAACAAAAACGATGTTCATTCACCAACGTTCTGAAGCTAGAAGAAGGTGTCCCACTTATTTGACTGATGACTGGTCATGACTGATGACTCCCCTCAGGTAGTCTAGGTAGACGAGGAAATGTTTTCCCGATATGTATAGGCCATAGATGGCCACAGACTGCCGTAGACCATCTCGGCATAGTGCTTACTTACATCAACTCTTTTTGGGTTGGCCTGAAGCCACAAGTTAGGAGAAACCTCGTTGCCAGACTCACAATTTTGTCCTTACCCTCCTCCACTCAATAGCTTAGGACACGTTCATCATTCATCCTAATCTCACCAGCCCCAAAGAAAGAAACACCTCTGCGAGACGAGGAACTTTGAGTCACAGCCTCGCGGTAGGCTTCATTGGTGGCATAGAGCCCATGTGCCATTTCATGTTGAAGAGTCTCCATGTCCTGCTGCCCCAAGAAAAGCAAAGCCCGAGCCCGTTCCCTCAATTTTGAAACAGCACTCAGAAAATGACTCAGACAAAAAGTGTGTATTTTTTCGAGGTGGGACCGAAAATGAGAGAGAACACACTGGCAAACTTAAAGACTTACAACGTCTTACAAAGGCATATCATCGAGCGGATCGCAATACGTCATGAAAACCGATGAGTTTACCACTCCGCATGTTTGACGTCGAGCCACTTCCTCACCGTTGAGGGAACTGGAATTGAGTCTGGACAGAAAAATTTGAGTTGCTTCCACTGACAACTCACTAGTGATTCCTTGAAACTGTGAAGGTACAACTAGTGATTCCTGATCGAGCTGCCTCCCCTGATGACATATCTTCAGACTTGTTTTGACAACTCTAGTGATTCCTGGCCTTCAAAACAAGGGGGAAAGCAACATCCGGACGAGCCTTAAGGCGGTGAAATAATGATGGAACACGCAAACATCAAACGAACATCATCGTCGCGGGCCTCTTTGCTTCCATGGTGCTCAAGGAGACACACAAAATGGGCATGCTGCATGCTCCAATCAACCAAATGCTTAGAGGTTAAGCCAAAACCAAACGGATTCTATCTTGTCCGGGTCTGGCTCACCAGCCGGCTGCCCTGAAACCCACCAGCAAAACACTCTGGTGGTTTCAGAGTACAATTAGATGGGACAAACCCAAAGATGTCTCCCTTTTATATAGGGTTCAATGTCAACCCCTTTTGCTACTCCGAAACCACTGTAAGGCCTTAAACTTACTACGGCCACTCGACCCGAACCCAGTTATAATACAGTTGTAAGATGTTGTAAGTCTTCTTATATATATATATATGTTCTTGGACCCCCCGTGGCCCCCCCTCTCCTCCTCACAGCTGCCGATGAGGTACTGACCACAGGATGGCCAAACCTTCAGGAGTGCTTCCTCCTGGGGCCGCAGCTTGCAGCCGACCTCCACTGAGGATCCAAATGAAACACATGTGAGATCATGATATATCTTCTGAGTCCGTCAAACCTCTGAGCTCAAACAAGTGGCAAAACCATGCAAAAAACCTATTTTTGGATGAAATTTGCGAAAAAATGTTTGGTCTCCCAATCGCTTATTCAACTTGAAGGTCCGAACTCTTGTTTCGGGCCGCACTGCTGAACGTTCCCTACACCACCTATCACGCAATTTCCCTGACACCCCCTCCCGGGCACCCAACGGACTTCAGCCATGAACAAGGACCCGGCAACCAGGACCGGTCCGAAGCGGTCTGCAGGACCCGGCCTTTCCATCACGAAGGTCATTCAAGACCCAGGAGGGAACGTTGAAACCTGGCCACTCCAAATAGTAGTCGAAGCCTTTCCCGTGCCGCTTCCGGTACCAATCCTTGTACCTTGGGCTCACAACTCCAAGCACAAACGAAACAGACTTAACATTGTGATCCATGACGAACCGTTCAACTTGGGAAGGAGAACACCATGTCAAAACATAACTCACAAATTTCTCATACATTGCATTACATTACGTACACTGTATTCATATATATATATTCATATCTTTCAATCCCCCTTGGAATAAAGGGGGAGGGGCGGAGTCGCTCATTTTGTAGAAAACACACGCGTCTACTCTCTACAAAATGACCCCCTCTACAAATGACCCCCCGAATGCCAGAAAATACATTTTCTACAAAATAGGGGTGGGGGGTCGAAAAACTCAAACAAGATGGAGTCCACTAACCCGAATGCAAACACGTTCGAAAAGCTATACATATGTCCAAATGACACTCTTGTAGGACACTCTTGTGGAACACTCTTACAGCACACTCTTGTGGGACACTCCTGTGGGACACTCTTGTAGGACACTCTTGTGGGACACTCCTGTGGGACACTCTTGTAGGACACTCTCGTGGGACACTCTTGTAGGACACTCTTGTGGGTCACTCTTGTGGGACACTCTTGTAGGACACTCCTTGTGGAACACTCTTGTAGCACTCTTGTAGGACATTCTTGTGGGACACTCTTGTGGGACACTCTTGTAGGACACTCTTGTGGGACACTCTTGTGTGACACTCTTGTAGGAAACTCTTGTTGGACACTCTTGTAGGACACTCTTATGGGACACTCTTGTGGGTCACTCTTGTGGGACACTCTCATAGGACACTCTTGTAGGATACGTTTGTGGGACAATCTTGTGGGACACTCTTGTGGGACACTCTTGTAGGACACTCTTGTGGGACACTCTTGTGGGGCACTCTTGTGGGACACTCTTGTAGGAAAATCTTGTGGACACTCTTGTAGGAACACTCTTGTGGGAAACTCTTGTGGGACACTTTGTGGGACACTCTTGTAGGACACTCTTGTGGGACATCTTGTAGGAAACTCTTGTGGGATACTCTTGTAGGGCACTCTTAAGGGACACTCTTGTGAAACACAGGACGCTCTTGTGGGTCACTCTTATGGGACACTCTTGTCGGGCATTCTTGTGGGACACTCTTATAGGCACTCTTGTGGGTCACTCTTATGGGACACTCTTGTCGGACATTCTTGCGGGACACTCTTGTGAGACACTCTTGCAGGACACTCTTGTGGGGCACTCTTGTGGGACACTCTTGTGGGACACTCTTGTAGGACACTCTTGTAGGACACTCTTGTGGGACACTCTTGTGGGGACACTCTGGTGTGACACTCTTGTAGAAAAAGTCTTGTGGGACACTCTTGTAGGACACTCTTGTGGGACACTATAGGACACTCTTGTGGGACACTCTTGTAGGACACTCTTGTAGGACACTCTTGTGGGACACTCTTGTGGGACACTCTTGTGGGACACTCTTGCAGGACACTCTTGTAGGACACTCTTGTGGGACACTCTTATAGGACACTCTTGTGGGACACTCTTCTAGGGACACTCTTGTAGTATAATATTGTGGGACACTCTTGTGGGACACTCTTGTAGGAGCAGTCCTGCGAGCGTTTCGTACGAGACGTCCTCCAAATGTCACGCGTCAAGTCTCCAAAACGAGCGCTTCGTACGAGACTCCCTCAAAAGTCACACGTCAAGTCTCCAAAACGAGGGTTTCGTACGAGACTTCCTCCAAAAGTCACGTGTCAAGTCCAAAACGAGCGTTTCGTGCGAGACTTCCTTCAAAACTCACGTGTCAAAGTCTGCAAAACGAGCATTTCGTACGAGACTTTCTCCAAAAGTCAAGCGGAAACACCCATCGGAGCACACACATCACGCAGCCCTGCCAAGCAGTTTCGCGAGTCCAGCCCCTCCAAACAATACCCGCTCACACGCCAATCCCAATGTGACAGCGACATTCACCTCTACCACAACTCACGACCTCACGATTCCCTGCGCCTGCCACGAATCTTTCCGCATCCACACGTCTAACGCGCACAAAGTACTGCGCCTGCCACGAAATGTCACCTCCGTCACACCTCGCAACCTCACGATTTCCTGCGCCTGCCACGAAAATCGCACTTCCACGCTGACACCTCAAAATCCGCACAAAGTACTGCGCCTGCCACGAAAAGTGACAATATCATCTCATGTGAGCTTCAACAAAACGTGCACCACACCACACGTTTGGAATGATTTCGACCCGTGCTGAGCACACTCCCATCCACCAAAATCGCCATTTCACCTGAGACTTGTCACGAAAACAGAGCTTCGATGCCACACCCGGAAACGCAAATCCCAATGGCACGGCCACATCCAACACCCCAAAATCACGACTCTCCTGACGCTAGGCGAACATACAAACCACGGGTCGCGAACAAGACTCTACCTCCAGACCCCCAGAGTTAAACGAGAACCCTTCGCTACGCATTCGGGAAAAACTGCATTTCTCTACAAAATGCTGGGCCAGGTCTCTACAAAATGTCGGGGTGTGAGCGCAATAGGGTGTTCTCTATAAAATGACCTGCTGATTTAGGGCCTCAAGGCCATCATTCTGTAGAGATAGCGGGATATCTTTCAGTGATGAATTCCGTCAAAACACTTAACTGAGCTTGGGTCCCACCTTAGTCAATTCAAGTCACTGATCCAACTCGAAGGCATGATGTCTGATTTGCGCATCTGGGCTTTCGTAGTACTCCTGGATGCGCACAAAGGTGCTGCCCAGAACCAAGCGAGAGTCCTGGGCGATACGATTCGTGACGCCAGGCAGTATGGAACTCATTCAGTCTGGGCCAAATGGACAAGTTTTCTTGGTTGGATTCCCACCGATCCTGCGCAAGCCGAATTCAAGGAATATTGAGCAGTGATGCTGAGGGGTGAGTCCTGTAACCTGTAGCCTCGCACTTGATAAGTCGTCCAAAGATTCAGGCAAGTTGCAGTATGCAAGCTGTAAACTGAAGGCAGCGCCTCCGTGACACGCAAGCTCTGCTGAAAGTGACTGAACAAGACTAGACCTAATAAAGTAATCCCGGGCACCTTTTAGTAAACACTCCCCAATCAACAACACCACGTCCTAACCCCTAAATTCGGTTTATATTTGGTTTTAAATTACCGCCCTTCCAAACCGCTACTAGACTACCAACATGGTCGATTTTTGTGATATTTTGTTTTTAAAATTAGGTTCGCTTACACCAGCAGGCTTTCCTTCCCCCAATGGCACGGACTCACGCAAACGCACTTGCCACCGAGGTCATGCAACACCGCATGGCAGAGCGACATCACCTTTCGAAAGCTTTTAGCTGCTAGTCTACTGAAGAATAACTATTCTAATGAAGGTTTTTGTAGGGGGAAAGGAAGACCCTTCCATCTGGAGGTTTTTTGCATTTTTGATACGAGTTTAATAAAGGATAATTATATATACATTTTTTGTTGTTTTCTGGATTACTTTTTGATTTTGAAACTCTTTCCAGGTGACCCTATTTTGGAGCCCCCCGATTTCAGGGACCCCCTATTAGAAAAAATGCGATCGAGTTTTTTTAAATAGGGGGGGCCCGTGTTTATTAATAGGTGGACCGGATTACCCCTCTTGTATAGCGAGACGGTGCGTGCTTTCTTACGATGTGTGTACGCTGGCTGGACCAAAGTGCAAAAACTGATGAATCGACGGTCATCAAATGTCCCACTGGAAGACGAAGCTAGACTAGACTGTTGATCAATGAAACCACCCTTCCAGAAAAGCTTTATATACATCTCCAATCCTGGAGGGTTTTGTAGGGTTTTATCATGTTTTATCAATCAACAAGTCTGAGTCTAAGTTCAACACCAAATGAACACGGCAAATTGATCACCACAAATGAGTCAATCTCACCACTGCGAACATCCATCACTACCCCCTGAAAAAGGACTTCAACGATGTCCGGTCTGTTGCTCTTTCACCCCTCTGCTGGGCACCGGCAGCGGCGATACCAAGGCGAAGGGGAGTGGAACAGGGCGAGAGAAACTCCGGCGCCTCATGGAGGAGATAAAGCTTCTCAAAGTCGCAGGACTTCAGCTGCAGGTCCTCGCACCTTTTTGCCGCGGGCGCCGCTGCGGGCGATGCCAGATATTGGCGAGATGCAGGAGGGAAAGTGTTGGGGAAGGATGAAAAGGATGAAAGGTACTTAAATATGCTGAACAAAAAATCGTCGCAGCAACAAAATCGGAAAGTAAATTACACAGATAATGCAAAGTAAATGACAATCATATATCGACGACGTCGAAACTGAAAAAAAGTGTGGTCGTCTGCCAGTGCGGTTGGATCTGATGCGGAACGCTGAAAACACGTCAACAGACACCAACAACAACAGACACCCCCAAGGGCCCCAAGGTGAATGAAACTTGGACCAACCAAGCTGAGTCTCATGGCATCGAAGTAGCTGCACACGAATTCTTCGCACCCTCGGGTCCGCTGCGGTGGGACCGCCAAGGCACGACATCTGGTGGGTCAAAGGTGGAGCACGACATCTGCTAACAGAATGCCTTTAGATGGGAAAATGGCGTTCCACCTGTGTCCCACCTGCGAAAAACACTGTTTTGCCTTTAGTGAAAAGTGTTGCGAACAAATCCTAGATGGGACACCTGCGGCTTCAAACGAAGCATGATCGAGGAAATGCTACAGGAAGTTCAGTCAAACCGCTCGACATGTCCAACACCCTCCGTCCTGCAGAACTCTTAAACCACCCTTTGGATATCTTCGATGCTCACATCTCTTGCATGAGCAATGGGCGAAACAAAATGAGCGACACTGCCCTTCGTCACGTTGTATGCAGCGTGATGCGGTGACCAAGAATACCAAGGCGTCCCAAAAAAATACTCATGAACTGCTCGCAGGTCGGTTACCACCACATCTGTGCTGCCCAGCCCAAAAATGATCCTACTGAGCCGCCAAGATGCTGCAGGGACCACTGAAAGCGACTCGATAGCCGTGCACCTTCCAAGCGGCAGAACTAACATGAGGGAAGGTTGAAATCAATGATTCTTGGTGATCTTGGTGTCAGGGTATGGGCCTTCTTGGTTGCCCTGCCCTCCAGCCCTGTTCTCATCAAACCAGGGACATGAGCTTTATGCAGTGGGAGTTGTGAGGAAGGCTATGCTTTAATGATTTCTTTTGCTTCAAACGGGGTGTTTGCTGTCAGCCCCTTGACTTTATGGCGCTAACCTGATTTTCCATACTATATACCTTCCAGCAGGGAAACATGAATTTCAATGTGGACTTCAGCGATGCCGGCGTTTCCAACTCCATCAGAATCACCTTCAGCCACGTCGGTCATATTGGCGCCTTTGCAGCAGCAAAGGTCTTGCACAGCGCCGAGGCAGGCGGCACCGCCCGCAAGAGCCGTGGCAGCTGTGGGGCAGAGAGGAAGCTTTGCCTGCATTGGCTGAAAGGAGAGAACCCAAAAGCTCAAGAAAAGATCAGAACACCAAAGAGCAACTGCCCAAAACAGGACCAAAGAGCAACTGTCTCCCTCGTCCCTTGCTGTTGGGCGAGATTAAGGCGGCGCACCGAGAAAAAATAGAGACCCGCCTATAGTAGGAACAGAAAATTTCAATTGAGGGAACGCCAAGACCGAAACTGGACTCCATCCGATAGCCCAAGACAGTCAATGAAGACCCAAACCTGGATGCCCGTCATGTTGGTTCCTTCAATCCTTCTTGGCCATCTTCACTCGGGAACTGGCGCCTCTCTAAGCCTTGCAGTGGCTGGAAGCAGCTTAGGACCTCTGCCACCGCGGAAAGGCTCAAATCCTCAGTGGTCACAAGCATCCCTTGAAGCGGCCGAAGAAAGTGCGAGCGCTATGGCTACGGTGTGCAGCCTGAGGATGGTGAAATATGAAATATGAGCCAGTTCGTAGGACTTTGCATCATGCACCTGTTGCAAAAACCAAGTGGGGAGCCGGATTCACTTCTTGAGAGTTGTGGATCTTTTTTGGATGGGTGACCGCATGTGGCAGGTGCCTCCATCGAGGGGAGCCACTTTTTGGTATGTCTCTAAATCCCGCACGAAACCCAGACCTAGCAAGGGTTGGGATGCAAACTCTGAGTTTCAATCGCCAGCTTCGATGGCACTGGACAATTCGGGAAGAAGTCACGAACCCCTCCAGGCATGGGCCAAGGCCAAGGAATGCATTGGGCATTGGGGCACGCAAATTGGGCCGCAAAGGCATGCGAAACGCGAAATCCTCAACCATCTTCACTAGTGCCAGCGCCTTGAGGGCTGCAAGCCCTCAGTAGCCCTCAGTGCTCCTCTTGCGGCCAAACATCTTCGAGGAGGAACCACAAGTCCTGACCCAAGTGGAACAGAGTGACACGAAGCCATCTCGAAATCAAAGCGGTGGCGGCACCTGCGCGAGTGGCAAGCAGCACCCATCCAACGCCATCACGCTGGCGGCAAAGCTGGGAGGCGCCACGGAGTGCAAAGAGAAGTCCACCTGAGATGGTGGACTTCAACATCAGGAGGCTTCCAATCCAGCCAGTTGAAGGTTCTGAGCTTTCAAAAAGAATCGATTTACCATGTTCCCAGCTTGGCCTCAAAGAACTCACTCTTCAGGGTAGATGGAACGATGAGATCCCCAGAGCGAAAGAGCTCCTCGTCCTCGTCCGATTGGGTTTCAAAGGCCTCGGGTGGGGCATGGAGCAAGTCCAATGCTACAAAAGGTCCCTTCACACCCTTTCAGGTGCCCTTTCTGGATCCTTTTGCAGAGTTTGGGCAGTGGCATTCCTATTGAATCTATTGGCTCTCCCTTTTGGTGGCTCTGGGACAAGACACTTTAAGTATTATATAGTAGTGTCGTGCGCATGCATCAAATGCGCAAGATTTTTCACCGAGCATATTGAGGAAAACCCCAAATCACACCAGCCACACCATGACCGGCAGCCCTCAGCCTCGACCTCACTCGCTGTCACCGCAGGTAGATCTGTTTGACCAAGCGCTGGCAACGTCGCGCCGAGGGCGACTCGGATCCCCAGGTAGTCCAAGTAGTTCAAATCCATTGTCGGGTCCCCAGTCGCTCGGCGCGCGGTTGGGGACGAAGTCAAATGCAAAGAGTCTGGTCACAAGGGGTATGACATAGAAAAATGTGATTGATAGATGTGTTGGGTTCAGAGTTCGGCGTCAACAAAGGGGCGCCTGCTTGAACTTTTGGAATTCTGGGTGGGTGGCTGCGGGATCTGGCATCCCTCGGAAAGTCTTGATCAGTGCTGATTTGTCATGGAAAGCTACATGCATCTGCAGCATGCATCGGCAGCCATGAACGCATGCATCCAACTGCGAACAAACTGCATGGCGAGCCGAAAGAATGACACTGGACATCACTGGACCGCTTCCCCACTGGTGGGGGTTATTGAGTCACTTGAGTCTACCGTCTCTAATTCACCATGTCTTGCCATGAGACCTCTCACCCAGACCATCCCAGACCCATCCTTCCACCAAGCCACTCGCGCCACTGAGTGCTGGCACCCAGTGGAGTTGGATTGATACCGACACTGGGGACGATATTCCCAACTTGGGGATCAACAGAGCTGGTTTAAATATCCCTTCAAAGCTTTAATTCTGAACCTACTAATTACATGCAGTAAATCTAATCAATTGCTTTCTGACCATGATCAAGTGCGAAGCCTTTGAATAAACGCATATCGTATTGATTGATATATATATTTTTTTTTAATACATAGTGTGCGTGTGCACTTGTGTGTACATATGCTGCCGTATTTATACAGATTCATGTCTTCGTATGTGGCACTTCTACGTCAGCTGAGCCACCTTTCGAACCGCTCTCGCTCCGTTTTCACCCGGAGACTCGTCCGAGACGCCGCGCTTGGCTTAGCCAAGGGCCGTGTGGCGGCTGAGCGGAGACGTGCGTGGCAGCGAGGACAGCGTCGAGCTGGAGGCTGAACGGAGGTGTGCATTCGAGATCCGTCGATCCGTATACTACCTATAACCGTCAACACCCCACCCGGGAACTGAGAACAGAACAGCTAAGGGTTGAGGCCTTTGGCGCGCCACACGGCAGCGATGACTGGGGTTCTTTGTCGATATGGTCTCCGCTTGCATTGCTCCCAACTACATGTCATTGGACACCTCCACGGCTCGTACCGCAACTCGCCCTCAAACTCCGAAAAACGCCCGTTGCTTCAATGGTGGCATGACCGCCTTGCTTCGAAATGGCCTTGGGCCATGCCATCCCAATGGGACACAGACCAAAAGACCTACGCTGCTACTGCGGGACTGCCATGCCCCACCTGTTCAGTTCGAGGGGACAAAGAATCTCAGCACCCACGTTTTCACCATCCATGCGAAAGTGCAAATGTATGCAAACATACCTGCAGTCCTAGAAGAGTTCCACATGGTTCCACATTCGGAGGGCTGCAGCGCGTTTGCGCATCGGGGGATGTTCAAAACCAAATCGCAGGGTACACATCCGATGTTGTGAAAGGCCTGGGTATCAAAAGGTATGCGTCACACTTGCACGAGGGTCATACAAGCATATAATTACCTGGTTAGAAGGGACAAACCATGTCTTTCACTATCTGTGTTGAACGCATCTGGAACGCATCTATGCACGTGAAACAGGTAGTGAGCGGCAAGGGCAGAATCATACTGGTCTGGTGTTCCATGCTAGTCTGTCGCTGTGATATGATGGGTCAACTGGCATCCCCTCCGACACAGGCGGGACAAGAGCTCCGGCCAATCTGGATCTTCACCCAGCAGCCGCCGGTGGCTGACACACGAAGAGAAAAGGGCTTTGACATCACAACCCGCTGTTCCAAGCACCAATGGCTCCTTCAGTTTCCCTTACAAATCAATTTTTTCCACCTGTTGGGTGGGAAATCAATCCCCCCAAAAGGCTTGAGCAGGTTATCCACTGACTGGGTGGGAATCTAGGGCCCAGGGGGCCAAAAGTGGACCTCAAAGCTCTTCCCCTCCATGCAGCAACCGCCTCACGAGTGGAATCTATTCACCTTGGAGAAGCAAGGCAGCAAGGCGAAGCATCCCCTTTTGCAATCTTAATTAGCTAGATTCGGGTTGGTTATACATATGTATCACTATAGCTCAGGTAGATATAATATACTCCAACAGTATTGTATAGGATAATTCCCGTATAACAACATAAGATAACATACAGTAGTTTAAATACTACTTAATACTTATGTTATCTTATATCATGTTGCTCTGGGCGGTCTCAAAGCAGTCCGAGAAAAAGGCATGAGATCAAAATGCCTGACCTCACTAACTAGTAACTAGTGTAGCATATGTGCAACTCCAGGGCAAGCTGGGTTAGCTACATGTCCCACTTGTGCTTAGTGGTTTGGAGATTGTGCTCAAGTATGCGCGGGTATTGCAAGTCAAGTGTCTCTTCTTGAACCATCAAAGGCATGTGCGAATTGGCGTCAAATGCACAGCCCAGCAATTGAAAGTTCAGCAACTCATGAGTACATGGCACAAAGCCCAGGCCAGGGTGTGTATTTTGGAGTACTTATGGAAATTGGTGTGTTATATACGTTGTTTCAGTCTCTAGGTCAGTCAGACTGGCAAGGTGTACTGTACTGGTGTACTATTTCTTTACAGCAACAATCTGCCGAGGGCATGGCTATCCTTCACGGGTATCTCTTCCTGCCGCCTGCCGGTCACCAGGCTGTTTCCCTTTAACATCTGGATCACCGGTCAACTTGCTGCCAAATATGTTTGGCAACTATTTCTGTATAATACAACATAATACTACTATACAACATGAGTGTCCGAGCTCACTAGCGCCAGGATACAAGAATAAAAAGCAACATCCTACACAGCCCTGCAATCTATCTTGTACGGTGTCTGTATCTTTTTGTGGTTTTAGAATGTTTCTTGATCTTTCTTGGTTAAATTTGTTTTCAAGCCCTCACGTGAGTCGACTTTCCGACCCTTTGGTGACTTGGAAGTCTTCTCCGAAAACACGGCCTCCACAGGAAGGGAAAGCACCTCCGCAGCATAGGTAACAGAAAGGGCTTTGTTCATGTTGGTTGGATGAACGAGTTGCTTGCACGCCCACAAACATGCGGCTTTGGCCTGCAACAGTATCCCAAAGTGACAGATATGAGAGGGTGCAATTGAGGGTCCCAGTGCTGAGAATGCACAACAAGTGGTTGCCAAAACCTCAAACATCTATATATATATATACTGTAAATGAATATGTCCACAGGACAGCAATGGCACACACACACACGCACACACACACACACACACACCACGACCACTTCAACATATAACTTCTAATTGCACGGCATCGGAGTGAGACATTGAGATCACACACACAAACAAGCATGTCCAATCACTGCTCAGGCGTCTGGGGTACCACACCGACCGCTGTCTGGATCATCCACAATGATCTGCGGCAGCACGGCCGGTACAGCAAATGCGTCAGCGTTTTCCCACCGCCAGGCAGTCACGGCGCACACCCGCCTTGTCATCCGGCTGCCCATGGGGCACATATGGCTCCAAAGGGCAAAGGTTGGAACCTTGAGAAAGCTAACCATGGGGTCTGTGGTCTTGTGGGTCTCATTAAGAATGTGTCACCCCAATGGTGTCGATACAGTTCATAGTCACCAGTGTCTTCTCAAATCAAAGCAAGGTCCAATAGGTGCCTCCAAAACCGAACAGGATGTTCTTTAAGGCGTTGCTTGGAAGTTCGGCCATGAATCCACTATTCCCTGAGTGATGTGTTTTACTTTCATCACAGCTTCAATGGCTTTTCGTTACTTTCGATTGTGGTGACAACCCTCCAGGAGCATGGCTCAGCGTGGACTCATCCAGCCATTGCAACTGATGGTCGCTGGTAATGCCCAGCTCTTCCCTCGCCTGCGACCCAAGGAGCCGCGGCAGGGAATCTGGGTGAATCTGAGATTGGGCTAATTAGTACACCAGGTGGAACCTGATGGAACCAGATTCACCAGGTTAACCCAGCGTCACCAGGTGGAACCTGATGGAACCTGAAACCAGCTGCGACCAAGTCGCATAGTCATGAAGCGCTGTCCACGATGCCCTTGTGACACGGTGTCTGTGACCAAAGGGGTGCCCCATCCAAGTGGAGAATCGTTCGGACAGGAAGGAGTCAAGGCCCTGGATCAATGCAAGACTCGCAAGGCCCCGGACGGATTCTCGCTCTGTCCCGGCCTTTCTGAAGATGTGCGACCTCAGCATGGGAAATGATATCTGTGGAGTCTGCAGGTCTTTTGCTGGGAAATGATGCCGGCAAAGGACCACAAGCTCAACCGATTACTGATTACCATTGTTGTCTCCTATACCCACGAGTTGTAAGTTGTAGGGCAATGTACAAGATGTTCATTCAACTCATGCAACTGGTAACCTTCTCGACTGGTTTGTTAGGTGCGCGTGGTCAACTAGTGCCCCACCAACCCATAAAGCATCCAGAAGCACCTTTAAATACCTTTAGCATGTCTAGAACGTCAGTCAGCTTGGGACCCAGCTTGAGACCTTTTGCCCTTCCAAACCTTGTATCCCCTCCCTCCTCAATAAAGTTGTGTCCCCTGGCAGTCGCTCATAGTCTGGACGTTCGGCAAAAGGCAATTTCCTGCCAAACGCGCAGCAAAGAACTTGACAAAACCCCTGGGGGGTTCGTAGCACAACAGAATGGAGACCTCTCCATGTTGGGTCTTATAATTCTATGCCTGGCGTAGCTCAGAAAGAGCTTGAAAGCGCTGGGCATCTCAGCCTCAAGGGCTGCAAGTCAAGGAAATGGTTCAATCCCGCGTGAAAATTCAGAACGTCCTCAAACCGAACACCCTGTAACACACACACAGGCATACGGTATACATATACTATGTAGATATACTGTAATACGTATTATATCAGAATTGCACGCATTTATTGTGCCGACCAAACTTGGCAGGAGAATGCAGGAGAGTCATCCTCAAAACCTCTCTGTCATGTGCTACGAGTCGTGGCACAGGCTGGGGCATATCTTGCACCACGGGCCCTGAAGGACCCCGTGCATGATCGTGCATGGACGTGTGACAACGTGTGCACTTTCCGACAACTGATGGAAGTTGATATTGGCCTGTGC